ACTTGGGTCCAGTGAGAGACCTGGTTGGAGTCCCAGGCTCCTGGCTTGATGGTGATGGGGTGTTGGACATTTAGGGTCAAGCAGTAGATGAAAGATCTCTGTCTCCCTGCTTTTCTCTGTCACTCTGCCTTCCAACTAAAGATATCCTTAAGAAATAGGTCTGGCATGGTAGCCTAGTGGCTAAGGTCTTTGCCTTGTATGTGCTGGGATCCCATGTGGGTGCTGGTTCATGTCCCAGCTGCTCCACTTCCATTTTTTTTTTGGGGGGGGGATTATTTTAAATGCTCCAAAAGTTACAAACAAAAATAATGTAGATGGGCCCAACACAATGGCCTAGTGCCTAAATTCTTTCCTTGCATACACCAGGATTCCATATGGGTGCTGGATTGTCTCCCGGCTGCTCTACTTCCCAGCCAGCTCCCTGTTTGTGGCCTGGGAAAGCAGCCGAGGACAGTCCAAAGCCTTGGAGAACTCTGTACCCATGTGAGAGACCCAGAAGCAGTTCCTGGCTCGGGATCAGCTCAGCTCTGGCCATTGTGGTGATTTAGGGAGTGAACCAGTGAATGGAAGCTATTTCTGTTTCTCCTTCTCTCCATAAACTTGCCTTTACAATAAAAATGAATAAATCTTTAAAAAAAAAAAAGAGTACAGCTAGAGTTGAGTGTGGAGTTTGCAATGCCCATTCCCATTGTCTAACTGTGCCAGTTGCTTATCACCTCAGCCTCAACTTACTGGCCTGTGAGATGGGTATAGCAGTCCTAATCTGGTGGGTGTGGTGGGGAATTAAATGACAAGACATAGAAAAAGCAGGAAAGAGTATTTGGCTTACAGCATGTATCTCATTGTTAATTCTCTTTCCCCTCGAGTCATAAATTACCAGTTTAGATTTAGTTGTGACACTACTATTATAAGGGTTTTATATGCAATAGCTAACTCTATAACGTAGAAATGAGAAATATCCCTGCTGTAGCTAAGAGCGTGCAGACAAGAGGTTTAACCATCTGCCCAGGGTCACTCCGGTGGGGTGCGGCGGTGCCTACCCCGGGGCCCAGCAATCTGGCCCCGCATCAGTAGCAGTGAGGCTGTTATTGGCCATGATTAGTGGCACCCCTGGAACATATTTCTCACTCTATTCCAGCACCTGTCTGTGACAGGATTTCAACAGGTTCATGGGAAAGCCAGGATTAAAAAAAAAATCTATCTATCTACCTATCTATATAAATACTTTATAAAAAATATTTGGACCCGGCGCTGTGGCCTAGTGGCTAAAGTCCTTGCCTTGAATGCGCTGGGATCTCATGTGGGCGCCAGTCCTAATCCCGGTAGTTCCACTTCCCATCCACCTCCCCGCTTGTGGCCTGGGAAAGCGGTAGAGGACGGCCCAAAGCCTTGGAAACCTGCACTCATGTGGGAGACCTGGAAGAGCTCCTGGCTCCTGGCTTCAGATTGGCGCAGCACCGGCTGTTGCGGTCACTTGGGGAGTGAGCTAGCGGATGGAAGCTCTTCCTCTCTATCTCTCTCCTCCTCTCTGTATATCTGACTTTGTAATAAAAATAGATAAATCTTTAAAAAAATTTGAAAGGCAGAGCTACAAAGAGGAACAGAGAAAGGGACTTCTTCCAGCTGCTGGTTCACTTCCCAGATGACTGAACAGCTTGACTGGGTCGGGATGAAGCTGGGAGCCAGGAACCCCATTCTACTGTCCTAGATGGGTAGGTAACAGGGGCCCAAGTACAGCTTAATCTGCTGTCCTCCCAAAAGCACTAGCTGGGTGCTGGACAGGACACAGGGCAGCTTGGGACTCAAATTGGTACTCCAATAAGGGATGCTGGTGTTACACATGGTGTCTTGATTGGCTCTGCCATAGTGCTGGCCCCTAAAAACTTTTTTCGTTTTTTTAAAATTCTTTTTTCCATGATTTTTTCCAAGATTTGTTTTTATAGAAAAGGCAGTTCAGATTTACAAAGAAGAGACAAAGATCTTCCATCTGCTGGTTCACTCCCCCAAGTGGCTGCCAGAGATAAGCTGATCTTAAGCCAGGAGTCGCACCTGGTCTCCCAGGCAGGTGCAGCGTTCCAAGAATTCAAGCCATCCTCAACTGCTTTCCCAGGCCACAAGCAGGGAGCTGGATGGGAAGTGGAGCAGCCGGGACACGGACTGCTGCCCATATGGGATTCTGGTGCTTGCAAGGTGAGGATTTAGCCACTGAGCCGTTGCGCTGGGCCCCAACTTCTCTTTTCTTTTTTGCCTAAATATTTTATAGGAAAGGCAGATTCACAGAGGAGACACCGAGAGAAAGATCTTCTGTATGCTGGTTCACTTCTCAAATGACCACAATGGTCAGAGCTGAGTTGAAGCCAGGAGCTTCTTCCAGGTCTCCCACATGGGTGCAGGGTCCCAAGGCTTTGGGCCATCTTCTGCTGCTTTCCTAGGACAGAAGCAAGAGCTGGAAGGGAAGTGGTGCTTACAGGTGGAGGATTAGCTTGCAGGTGGAGCCACAGCATCAGCACACCATCATCTTTGATGAACACCATTGTAGGTCCAAATGAACAGAGTATTCAGGGCAATAGGTAGGGTGACTGTAAAGGACTCGGTTTTCAGTACCAGGCAGGGTGCCTGAGACTTAGAACAGGCCGTCCTATACGTCCCTATTGAAACAGTCAAAGCCCCTTCACGCCGATCTGGAATTGCAAGGGGATCACAAAAGTCCTTTGGTCTGCAAAATTTGCCATTCTGCATATTCTTTCTGCATTCCCACCCTCTCGCAGCAAAGGCTTCTCCTGGCAAACATATTTTCTTGTAAAAACCAAGCCAAAGGGGTTTCCGGATGAGCTCATGAGCATGGATATTTTCATTGTATCTTCTGAGTTCCTTTATGAACAGGTATGCAGGTGACTGTTTACAGATTTTTCTAGAGTCCGAATCTGAGGGCAGGCTACATGTCCAAGGTAAATCAATGTTTGTTTTAAATAAAAAGCCCGTGATTTGGAACTCTCAACTATGGGGCAGGAAATTGTTTCAGAGGCCAGGAAGTAGCTATGAACTTTTCTGCCAAACAATACTTCCCTTTCCTCGCCATGAAGGACGGATGATCCTGGTGTCGTTGTAAACCAGCAGATGCTGAGCCTGTAGAAACGGGGGACAAACAATGGGCGGGGTGGGGAGGAAGCATTAGCACCTGTTTATGGGGACTTTTACCCAACATGATGGACTGGCCACCAGCTGTTGAGCCAGGACAGCAGGGGGAACAGGAAACGCCAACTCAGACTGAAGGTAATTTTTAGATTTATGCTTGTTTGTGGGGCGCGGGGGGGGGGGGGGGACCTAGGAAGTGTAATTCTCAAAAGCTCAGGGTACAAAAGCAATTTAATACACCCCATTCACTGATCGGGGACGGGCTTGGTGCACACATGGAGTCACTCATCACAGGTGTGAGTGGTGAACTTATGGTCGTATTCCACATTCCTTCTCTACCTCCACTTCCTCCAACTAGAATGGTATTGGAGCAGCCATGTTGACACAGTTGTGCCACTTCTGGCTCTTCTTTCCTGCTAGTTGAAGTCACATCACCAGGTTTGGGCCAGAAGTGTTGAGTGTTCTTAAAAACCCCTGTCAACTCCTTTTGTCTTTGCTCTGGCCTTTCCTTTGGGCAGGCGGCTATTGTGGACCAGCGGTGGCCCTGAGCAAGGACCCACACGTGGTTCAGACAGGAGCCTCTCCACAAACCTGGTCTGCCTACCTTTGGCAGTGCTCTAAAATGGTTTTATTATTTTTAAGGAGTTATTTATCTATATGATAAGAGTTAGACAAGCAGATATTTTCTATCTGCTGGTTCACTCTCCAAAGGGCCAGGCTGAAGCCAAACCAGGATTGCTCAGTGTTTTCTCCCAGCCCTACCCAGCGGGTGCAGAGGCCCAGGGACTTCAGCCATCCTTCACTGCTTTCCCAGGCACTTTAGCAGGGGGTTGGACAGGAGGAAGAGCAGGACCAGAACTGGAGACCAGGTGGGATGCCAGTGCTGTAGACAGCAGCTTAACTTTGCTGTGCCACCGCACCAGCCTCGGCAGTGTTCTCTGGCCAAGACATACAGTTTTTGCCATTTCTGTCACTTGGCTGTTGCTGTGGGCAACAGTTTAAGGGACTGGAGGTAGCTGTTCTGCTGGGATGGAAGATGAATAGAGACAGAGCCAGGCACGCCTAGGGTCACATGGCTGCCTGCCCAGAGCACAGCAGAGTACTCTGGAAGCCAGAGTACTAGTAAAGTACTCAAGGGCCTGGTGGATAGCAACATGTGACAAACTTCTTTCACAAAGATGGACTGGTTAACATAAGTGGTAGTGGGCCTGGCAAGTCTTCGCCTTGAATGTGCTGGGATCCCCTGTGGCTGCCAGTTCTAATCCCAGTGGCCCCGCTTCCCGGCCAGCTCCCTGCTTGTGCACTGGGAAAGCAGTCAAGGATGGCCCAAAGCCTTGGGACTCTGCACCCACGTGGGAGACCTGGAACTGGCTTCTGGCTTTGGTTCAGCTCAGCTCTGGCCATTGTGGCCACTTAGGGAGTGAATCAACGAACAGAAGATCTTCCTCTCTGTCTCTCCCTCTTTCTATATATCTGCCTTTTCCCAATAGTAATAAATCAATCTTAAAAGAAAGAAAATTGATAGTTATTTTTAAAAACCAAGCATTTACGCATACAGCTTCTCTCTTCTGTCACAATATCGCCTATGAAAGGAACTCCGGAGCCAGTGATTTTAAAAACCTCCTTCCAGTTGGCTCCAGAATACCATGGCTACCTGAGGGTGAAGCACAGCTTGCAGCATCATTACAAGGTATATTAGAAGAGTTGAATTCTCAAACAGGAAGATACATTCTGAATCAGAGAGCAAGGAGTAAATACTGATTGTATGCCGTTTAGAAGACATCACAGATCTGATGATTCATGGAGAGCCGAGGAGGAGGAGAGGAAGAACTTTCCCACTGCAAAATGAACACCCAGTGAACCAGTTGGGCTCACATAGAAAAGTTTTAATGAGACAAATGCCAGGCAAGCACATCAACTAAAAAAAAAAAAAAAAAAAAAAAAACCAAAAAAAAAAAAAAACCCAAAGTTCAGTTATAAAACACTTGTATGGAAAAGTTGGCATTTCAACAGTTTCAAACACATGTATACAATTTAATTTCCTAAAATGTGTCAGAAATACAACCTGCCTCCCCTTTCTGCAGCTGTTCCTTGTGTTTTACAGAGAAATCCGTGACTGGGAATGGGCAGAGCCCATGTAAGGGTGGTGAATCCAGGCCTGGGGGGCTGTGCTGGCCTGGACCCTCTCTGCCACTGTGCAGGTGGCCAGACCTGTTCTGCAGAACCCAGTGGTTTGTGACAGCTGAGTCCCAGCCACCAGCAAGGAAGGGCAAGCTAGTGGGAGAGCCAGCACTTTGAAAGCAAGTTGCTTACTTTGCAGAAATCATTTAGTTTTGCAGGGGTCTCATACATTCCTGAATATGCAAATATTCCAGTCATTGTGGGGTGTCCCCTCTATGATCAGAGAAGGGTGAGTTTTAGACCAAGTGAGAGCCTGTACTGATCATAAAAAGAGTGCTGACAAAGGCACGCAAGACTGCACATACATGAGAAACAGAGAGAATCACGAGGAGCGAGGGAGAGCGCATGGAAATCAGCCTCCGGCGGCAGGCATGAGCCTGTAGGACCACTGTGGACGCCCTTCTGTCACAGCGAGTTCTAGCATGGACTTTGTAGGTGAAGCATCTCAGCCAAGTGGCAGGAGATAAGATCAGGGAAAGAGTCAGCCAGGTATAGGACAGGAGGTCATGGTGGGGACTTATTCTGACTGCCAAGAGATGGTATAGGGGCTTCGGTGCGTGGACAGTGATGGGTTTCCCAAAGGCTGCAGTGAAAGGCCACTCTGCAGTGGCTGCTCCTCTCGAGTGGCAAATACACCGGTGAGTAGAGGCTGAGGGAAGGCGGCTGCCAGGCAGGCAGCTTCCGCTGGCACCCTGCTTGTACAGGCCTGTTGTGTGGCCACGCTTCCAAAGATCTCAGCTGCCACCTCAGCTTTGGGCGCTAAAACATCAGAAAAGGAAAAGCCCAGAGGAGAAGCCCAATCTCTATTCCCCTCTGTTGCTGAAAACAAAAACCCCATGGTTAGGAGGGACAGGAAAAGGTTGCCCATTTTCCCAGCCAGATTCCAAGGAAGGAACTTGGGAAGAAGATGAGGGGCGAGTAGAATTCCAGGTGCTCCTCCTGTCAGCTCCCTGTCAGCTGTGGCTGTGGTTGACTTTCCTCTTGTCTGAATCCAGGCAAATGAGCATGGGGATGCCCTCGGTTTTCACTTGGAGAAATGCCGGGCTCTTCTGCAATGCCAAGTGAGAAACTACTTTCTTCCTCTCTCTCCTGTTTGCCAATGACCTTCTCCTCAGTAAAAATGCTCCGCAAGCCATGGCCCACAGATGGGGACAGGAGACCTCACTGCCTGGACCTCGTGCCTGTGAGGGAGGAGCAATGCGCAGAGAGCAGCAGGCAGCACGGGGCGGTGGGAACATCCTCCAGCAGGGCTGGCACATACTGCCCACTGTGCAGGCTGGAAACTGAGCCACATACGTCACAGGACACTGTCAGCAAGAAGTCCCATTAGGGTGACAATGGGAGGAGACCTGGCCAGGCAAGGAGAGACTCCCTCCTTCAGAACCCCACATGGCGACAGAGCCCAGAGGTCAGAGACTGGAACTGGATAATGTGGTGGGATGGGAAGAAGGAAGGTAATACCCCCCAACGCTCCACAGGGACATTCACAATAGGGACAGTTAGGTAAGAAAACGGGTACTGGCCAACACAAGAGCCCAACTGGAACCGTAATGATGGGAGGCCTTCCTTCTTGTTGCAGCCTTGGGAGGGGCTGGCCCAGTGAAGGTGTCACACAAAGAGGGGTCCATAGGAAGTTCGTGTACAGGTCTCTCCTGTCGCTTGTCCAGGTGGCTCCTAGGGGAAGACGGCTCAGAGAGCTCTTGCACAAGCAAAGGGGTCCCTTCTCGGCTTCCAATTAGTTCACATTTCCACCAATGGCTTCTCATGCCTCACAAGCGAAACAATTACAGAACAATTCGGAGCGCTGAGACCTGAAGAATCAGGGAACAAGAAGAAACGATGACATCAAAAAGCTGAAGCACTGATCAGAGGCATGTTAAGGGGTTAGGTGCAGATGACAGAGCTCCCGGAACTGCAAGCAGTTTCCTGGAGGAGCCCAAGGTGACACTTCAACAAGATGCATACCCCTGCCCCATCCTGTGACTGCCAGGCACACCTCACGAGGGGAGACTAGCCCACAGAGGGAATGTGAGTAAAGATCCGAGAGCGTCTGTCTTGCAGGGACACAAATGTAATCGTCCAGTGAGAGATCTGACTTCCATCCTCAAGCGGTCAATGGAAACCGGCCACCGTGTGGACTTTGGCAATTTACATCAAGTGGTCATCTTTCAACTGGAGAGTCACCTCATGGCTTCTTCCTGGCACCACTTACTTCTAGGTCCTAGTTAGCTACAACAAAGTCAGACAGTTCAGGCAATCTTTGTGTTGTCTATTTATAAGCAATATTTGTAAGGGGACTGACAACAGTTCTGTGAGCTCTGAACTGCTGAGCGCTAAGTGGGACAGAAAGTCAGCTCTATCTTGATGCTCTCCTACAGGACTGCTTGGTGCTAGGCACCCAGGATGAGAGCACGGAGGCAGTCCACCTTGAGCACTCGTCCACTCAGGCCAGACCTCTCACCTCTCTGGAATTCAGCTTCTTCTGTGTAAACGCTGGCTGTCTAGGTTTCTCCCAGCTTTAACCTGTGTAGGGCCTTCAGAAACTTGCAGCCATTAGCCTCCCTTCACTCACTGGCTCCTGACAGTGGATGAGATCTCTGCCAACCTCATGTCAGAGTAATTAATTGCACCATGAGTGCTAGGGACATCAGCCTGGCTGTCTGTACATATTTGTATAATGAGGCCAAGCTAGTATTAATCACAGTCTTTGTAACTGTTCCATGTGACAGTTTCAGGGTGTGTGTGTGTGTGCGTGTAGGGAACTATTCTTAGTTATATTTGCATGACTAGAGTGTAAAAGTCTGTTTACATACTTGGTTTTCTTTGTTTTTAAAGATTAAAAAAATTTTTTATTACAAAAGTCAGATATACAGTGAGGAGAAGACAGAAAGTAAGATTTTCCGACTATTGAGTCACTTCTCAAGCGTTTGCAATGGCTGGAGCTGTGTCGATCCGAAGCCAGGAGCCCAGAGCTTCTTCCGGGCCTCCCACGTGGGTGCGGAGTTCCGAGGCTTTGGGCCGTCCTTGACTGCTTTCCCTGGCCAAGGGCAGGGAGCTGGAAGGAAAGCATGGCTGCCGCGATTAGAACTGGCACCCATATGGGATCCTGGCATGATCAAGGTGAGGACTTTAGCCACTAAGTTACGGTGCTGGGTGCACGGTTTTCTTTTTTTTAAGGGCAAAATATTTGTAGGTTAAAGTCAAGGATAACGGTAACATTCCTTGGTGTCAGACACCCCAGGAAGTAGATCCTCCAGTTTACACCCTTAAAAATAGGCAAAGCTTTAGCAGGGTCTTCTCATAAAACACTTGGAATGGAAAATGACTTGGGTTTCGTGCTTGCTTGGACCATCTTTATACCTACGTGAGGAGGTCATCAATTACTGTTCTCACTCACTGTCTTCATGCTGTTGCTCCCAGCTCTGTCTTTTCAAGCCTATGAGAGTGCTAATTGAAAGCCCTGGGCGAGAATGAGAAGGATGATGAGCTCCTGGAAGTTTCAGGCCCAGGTTTACAAGCTGTTCTCACCAGCAGCCGCAGTCGCACCGCCTCCTTGTCCTGTGGGGAGCCCAGCCGGCTCCATCTGGCAGTTTCGCTGGAAGGACAGCAATCCTTTCTCCAACAGCGCATGGCTGAGGCCAAAGTGTGCGGCTGCCATCAAAGGGCACGACCGAGAGGGATCAAGACCTCTGCTTTTATCTTTGTCAGCAAAATCGCTACGTGTGATAAAGAACAGTGGGTTCTATTCATTGCTTCATATGTTGCTCAACATCTCAGCTAAACTAGAATGTGAATGACAGACAGGCATGTGCCCACAGCACAAATGAAGAATCAGACCCACGGCGGGACACCCGAAGCCGACCCTTGTTGGTGGCTTCTATTTTACTTTCCACACATGGCCACCTCACTGTGCAATCCAACTCTGACATTTCCAAACAGTCTGTGTGTCTGCAGGGATAGAACTTAAGCTGACTGACAAAGGACAGTTTTGGGGGAGCCACAGGAAAAGGCACCCTATCTCTGGGACTCTGAGTGACCATTCCCTCCTGGAAATTGGCATCTGGCACCACACAGTTTGCATTGGTAGATTCTCCATGGGAAGGGTAATAGCACATCACACTAGTCACTTGTTGAGTGCACCTTAAAAAAAAAAAACTTATTTTTTTTCTCTCTTCTCTGCTTTGCTCTTTAAACCTCAAAGTTGGGCACTGATAGTGTCACTGCATGAGTCCACATAAACCTATGACATCCAGCCATCACCCTGTCACAGAGCCCGTGACAGCTTCTTGCGTATACGGTAGCTTCTTGTATATACTGATCATCTCCAGGGAAAAGGAAATTCAACAATTAAGTGAGATTTATTTCATTCTGAGTGCTATTTTGGGGGTCGTCTCCTCTAACTTTTGCACTAACTCTTCAAAGCTATTGAGGAAACAAAGGCTCAAGAACACAGCTAATTTGCGTTAAAGTTAGAAGTGAAAGCCCTCCACCAAATCCTGCTTTCTCCGTTAAACTATGTATGCAACAGAAAGAAGACTGTCTTTATTTTATCCCGACATTATTTACTACATTTAGTGGTGAAGCAACAAGAATCTTAGTCAAGCCTCCAGCTCATTAACTCAGCGTTAATGAGGGATGTGGGGAGTGCTGATAAAGGCTGACATCATTTTATTTTTCTTAATAGATGTCATGTAAGCATCCTATTATCCTATTGGTGGGTACTCACCATTCCCTAACGATCAAGCCTGTTCACAACTTCTCGAACTGTGGCTATGAAGTTTTCATTGTCTTGGGGATTGGCTAGAATAATACTGTGCAGTCTGTTCATATAGGAGTCAATGGTGTCCACTGTCGGAGTCTCTCCACTTCCTGCAGTTAGTGAGACAAGAGGAAGAGTAAGAAAATCCTCCCCATTCAATCAACCAAGGAACAGGTATGGGGATCCACAGCAAAGGAGAATGCGACTGCAACAATGCTTTGATCCAGACACAAGGCCAATTTTAGCAGACAGACGTTTAGATCTCAAAGACATGACAGGAATCCACATATTCTAAAGAAACAGATGGGCATAAACTGCTGTACGGTGCCTGTGAGAAGCTGCATCTAACAGAAGAAGATTGCCATGGCCACTCCCCAGATGGAAGCATCCAGAGAAATACTACTGTTTGTTTTCTCTTCCTTCCCATTAAAACAAAAACGAATACAAAACAGGCAAACATATAGAAGGGAAAGTGCTTGCCTCAGAATTTATGACTCAGTTTCCACTATTCTGAATATCAAATTAAGCTTAATAGAGAGGAAAAAACATTATATTAAAATAGTGGTGGACATAAATGTAAATGACCAGCAAGGCTGACACTTTGAGCGCCGACATCCAATTTAAGCACGTAATCCACAGAAAATCCCGGCAGCAGAAATTATGTCTTACTGACGTTCCTCCCGGGGAGACGCCAGTCCTGGTCTCTCCATGCTGTCACTAACAGCACACCCTGGCCCTCACCAGCATCCTACTTTAGCCAGAGAGGACCCGGGCCATGCCCTTACCAGGTAGGGGCATGCTGGCAAAGCTGCTGGTTAGCACCTGTCGCAGCGTCTCCAGGTGCTGCTGCAGGACCGTGTTGCGGCTCCGCTCCTGGACCACGTCCACCTCCAGCTTCTCCACAGCCGTGCGCATGCTCTCCACGTGCTTCTGCAGGGCAGCATTCCGCTCCTCAAACTCCATGTTGGATTTCCGAAGCTGGCGGAGTTCCGCCTCCCGAGCTGCAGAGAGCAAACCGCCCCCCAAAAAACATGAGGCCCAAGAAGCCTGCATAGCTGTCTGCTGGCCCCTTGCCTCCTCTCCCTAGCCGCGTGCTGGCTCCCCTGGAGCTATTTTAATTCTTAAAGTTAGTCAAATTCCAGGCCTGAGATTGCGACAAACAGTTGCAGTTCCTGGTATTTTTCTGTTTATCAGGTTTTGTTTTTCCAAGTTGTGCAATGAGAAGCCTGAGGAGTTTGGCAGGGGAGGCTGAGCTTAGCACAGCTGTGCGTCTGGTCTGCACTGCAATGGGATCTGTTCTCCTCTCACTTCATGTCAGACTTGGTTTGTACGGAGGGTTCCAGGCTGGGTCTATAAGCAAGAACCTGGTGGTCTACACTTGATCCAGACAGCAGAGCAGCCCTGGACATACTGGGTGCCCCTGTACAGAGCAGGGTAGGACAGAAGCAGCTATCCTTCTGCCATCAGCCCTGAGGAGGGCTCTCCCTTCCCTCCCTCCTGAGAACTAAATCCCTGCCAAAGACCCAAGAAACACAGGAAGATCCCTCAATAATCACCTTTGCTGTGGTTCAGGAATTCTTCTGTAAATATAGGGATGTCAAAAACAGACCGCTGCTCCTTCACCTCTGCTTCTTTCTGTGAACCAACAGTAATAAATAGTTCATTTTCATGCAGAAGCCCCGTGAAGTACCAGCCCACTGGCAGGGCGAGCAGAAACTGCCTGGGTGAGTATGTGGACACCATTCCCACCTTGTCACTGGGATCCGGCTGTTCCAGAGCGCAAGCAGAGGCTGTCCTCCGCTCCCTCAGCTGCTGCCCAGGGACCATCCTTAAACCCTACGTACACTTCCCTAAAGGATGCTCTGGAAGCGTCTGGTCCGCTCTGTGCTTTCCACAGTCACAGATCTGTGGCCAGCAGCTGCAAAGGTGGGTGCTCCAGGCACTTCCACTGGGCCCTATGTAAATGCTCAGGAAGGCAGGCCTCTGCGGTCTGCATCTACAGAGCAGACAAGGGCTTCAAACCGAGACCTATGGGTTGTGAACACTAACCATGCTATTCTGCTGATATGTCTGCTTTTTTACGGGGGGAAAACCTTATTTGGGGCTCTTTCAGACTGTTTTCAGGCACAGGAGAAACAAAGGTATAAAACCAAGAAGTGAGAAAAAAAAATACAGGCTCTACAAATGAGAAAGCTAAGGATTACGTGAGATAAAACAGAATAACAAATCCTAAGATACATTCATCAGTAGGTCATGAAAAAGTCTCACAATACTGTTATAAAATCTATTTATCCACAATGTGGATCTATTTATCCACAATGATCTTAAAGAATAAAGCCAGCGGGTCAGTGTTGCAGTGTAGCAGGTAAAGTTGCTGCTTGTGACACTGCCATTTCACATGAGCTCCAGTTCATGTCCTGGCTGTTCCACTTCTGATCCAGGCCCTGCTAATGTCCTAAAGAAAGCACTGAAGATGGTTTAAGCACGGAGGCCCTTGCCATCCATGTGGGAGACCTGTAAGAAGTCCCTGCTTGCAGCATAGCCCTGCCCTGGCTACTGCAGCATGCACCAACAGAGAGAAGATTCTAACTCATGTCAAGGTGAAATTTCAACAATTATGAATATAAATTTTAGAAATTTATAAAACTTCATAAAATGGAAGATGGTAAAGGTATGAAATGAGTATCAAAGAAACTGCTAATAAAATATGAAGATTCAAAAACCATTAAAACACAACAACAGTATAAGCAAAAAACTTAGAAATCATCATATAAGAGCATATTTAAAACTAGAGATGGAATGTGATGCTCCTAATCCTGTCACCACTGATTTTTCATCCTGAAAAAAACCCGAAAAATAACACAAAAAACTGATCTGGTGCCCAGTACTAAAGCTAGGCAGTTAACAGCCTGAGAAGGAATTTGGACAAGCCAAGTGCTTGTGTGTGTACCAGGGTCTGCCTGGCGAGGGCCTGGGCTCAGAGAACTGCTTGGCAAATGTGATCAAGGAGGGCATCCGAGATGACAGTCTGGAACACCACGCATCTGCCTAAGGACCATCTCGGAGCACTTCATTTTTATCTTCTCAATTTCCTCCAAATGAAAGCAAGATTTCTCCGAAAAATGTACACACTTAGAGCCTCCAAGTTTTCGTGTGCAAAGCCACTTCTGAGTGCACTGAATGAGCACAGAGCCCTGGGCAAGAAGAGCTGGTTCCAGAAGGGATCTCAGACACTCTGTGGTGGCTTCTCCTTCACCCTGCTGGTTTATAGTATGCTTTAAATCTGTTACCAGGTTGATGCTGGGGAATAGGTCATTTAGGGTTCACTTCCTCACCTTGCCACATGTAAGGCATAATGCACTGCAACACATGATTTTTAGGGTGGAGTCTTGCTGCTTTATCAGCCTATCTACTCAGTCTCCTATGCCACTACTTGGATGGACGTGGGATCAGTTACCTCACTGCAGTCTCAGCACCTGATGGTTAGGTACTGGGGTTGAGTACCAAACATGACAAAGGTACAGAGAGCTATTTCCATGGTCCTGGATGCTCTGCCTGGTCATTCTGCTTTTAGCCTAGTCAGAGCAGTCCTTGCCGAGCTAATCAGGGGAGAGCAGAGGACAGCAGTGCACAGGCACACTGAGGAGCTGCCCCTGGGTGCACATCTTGACCGCACAAAAGAAGAAGCATTAAAGCAATTAAATGAAGCCGCCCAGTCTCTGAAAGGCAACAGAGCAATTCTACTTGCAGGGAGAGTGGTAATAAAAGCCATCAGCCCTCTCCACCCCTGTGCACATCACTCGGCATGAACAGGGTCCTGTTGGGGGCCTCGCTGTTCTTATATCACTCCAAGGACTGCTCAAGGGACTACAATCCTAAGGATAGGATGATTTCCTCTTTGAGAGGGTTTAATTTGCTCAGGCTGAGTACCATCTTGTCATTTTTCATAAATTAAAGGAGAAAAAAAAATCACTGTTTCTTAGTCCTCATCTGAGATGCAGACTCGCACTTGAGAGGAATGCTGGCAGACCCCTCCGTCTAGTGACCTGGCTTGTGGTTTGCAAGGCGCAAACACAGTCCTCACCCACCTTTTTATCTATTCTATGTACTGAGCCGAGGGTCAGAGGACAGAGGTCCTTTGGAACTGAACCTGTTTTGCTGTGATCTAGGAGTACGATCTGCTTCTCTCAAGTGCCCTTTCCTCTGGGGAAGGTGATGCCAGTGTGTGCCAGACTGAAGTGCCCTGCTGCTATGCAGAGCGGCCTGCAGGTCAGCGCTTGTTCAGCTCCAATGTGCTCTCTCTGGCATCTGGCAAGGTAACAATGTCTTTGGGACTCAAGTTCCATTTAGGAATACGGCTGATGTCTTTACTGTACACAAACCAAGAACTTCCTGTCTCACTGCCAATACCTTCTGCTGAGATCTCAGAGCAGTCTTGTCCATGTGGCACATTCAGTACTGCTCAGCTCATTCTGGAGAGTGTGGCATTGTGCTGAGATAGGAGGCCTGGGCTTCCGTGGCATTCCTGCCTCTCAGGTAATTCAGCAAGCGATCGGGGTAAGTTCTTTCATGTCTTAGCCAAATCACTTCTGCCAGTGGTAAAATGAGGCCCTCAGCCGAGAGGATGCTGTGGGTCTTGACATTCCCAGGTGAGCCGGAGACTACTGTTACATCTCCCATTCTGCTCCTTGTGGAGAAGGACCGAAGTGTGTAATCGGGATCTGTGATGCTGGGGACTGTGGTTTTTGCTCTTTCTCACTCATGCCTCTGCTTAAGCACCTGATCCACACCTGGGATGTCTCTGCAGCTGATCCAACACCTCCTTTTCATGGGGTCTATAGGGCAGTGTTTTTTTTTTTTTTTTTAAGATTTACTGATTTTTTATTGGAAAGGCAGAACTGACAGAGAAGAGAGACAGAAAGGTTTTCCATCTGCTGGTTCATTCTCAAAATGGCCACAATAGCCTGAACTGAGCAGAACTGAAATCAAGAGCAAGGAGTTTCTTCCAGGTCCCCACGCAGGTGCAGGGTTCCAAGGCTGTGGGCCATTTTCTAATACTTTTCCAGATCACAAGCAAGGAGTTGGATGGAAGTAGAGCAGCTGGGACATGAACCAGTGCCCATATGTAAGGCAGTGCTTGTAGGCTGAAGATTAGCTTGTTGAGCCACCGCACTGACTCTAGGGAAGTGTCTCATCCTTGGTGCCTGCTGGTTTTTCTGAATTTCTATGATACTAACAAGTATTTTAGTGTGTAATATTATGCAGTATCTAAACTGTGTAGTAGTCTATGAAAGCAGCTGAAAAATCTTTCAAACCAGTTCTTGGACATCGTGTATGTTCTGCAATGCTCCTGCTTGGGCAGCCTATTCTCAATGGAAAATCAAAGCTGATGCAGTGAGGGGCATTCAGTGGGTGGACAGCCTTGCCAGGAGAGATCGATCCTGCAAGTGCTTACAGAAGCCAGTGCAGGCACGTCTGTGAAGTTATTGCTGGCTCTGCCCCCAGCCAGGCCTTCTGCTCTTGGCTGGCTTGACATGAGTCTAATCCTGAAACAGGAAAACCACAGACACCCATTCCTTTTCATTAATCATAGAAATTACAGAAATTCATATCATACTAGTATATTTTCACAAAAAGCTTCATGCAAAAAGTCAGCAGCAGTTATCTTTTCTGACTGTCCTCAACACTACTGGAGAGAGCAGTGCCATAAAGAGTCTGACCTGTAAAACCCAAAGGGCAGAAAGAGGCAAGGATGGACTGGGAGCTGTGAGACTCTGGGTTCCTGACCACTGTACATGTTCTCTTCTATAGCCAGGAAAAACACGGATGTGTGGGAGCAGGATAAAAAAAGAAGCACGGACATTTCAGGAGGCCGGTGGGTGGGCACACAAAGGAAAATAAGTACTTGTGACGTGAGTGCAGGTAAAACGGAAACTTGCAATATTATCCAACTATGAGTTCAAACACAAAGCTTAGGTACAAAGTTTCTGAAGCAAAAAAGACTCACAACACTTTACCCTTTATGTAACTACTTAGGATGGGATTTACAGGAATAAAATGCTTGTATTTTGCTATGTTTCTTGTTTTACAATTTGTGGATGATAACAGATCTATTTGATTTGTGGAACGGAATCTTTTCTCTGTTTTATAGATCACCAGCATGGGGACTATCACATCAAGGTAAGTTACTATTTTGAAGAAACGATTTCCTTGATTTGGTTAAAAAATATATGCAGAGAGAACATCACAAAATCCTCTCTGCTTGAAGTCCCACTGTTATTTCAGGCCAGTTCTGAATGAGTTCTTATCCAAACCAATCAAGGACTTCTGGACTATTTCTTCCATTTATGGTCAGAGTCACAGTGGGTAAGAACAGGAGTGCCCTCAGAGAGATTATAATCCAACACTGAATAATATTGGGGCACATCAGCTAAGTGCTTGAGAGCTGAACAGAGCCACAAGAGTTAAAGGGAACTGAAGAAAGCAACAGGAGTTGAAGGAGGACATGAAACTTGGAAAGGAGCCTGAAGGATGAGAGGCAGACTTGGGAGATGGGGGAGGGGAGAAAGAATTCTCATGAAAGGAGCCATGTGGGCAGAGGAACGAGGCAGAGAGGTCAGTGCACCTGGAGGATGGTGAGTGGCTAAGGCTTCTATGTCTGAGAACACACAGGGAAGACAGGAGTGAAGCTACTGAGGCTGAGAAGCTGACATTCACAAACAGTGCTGAACCAAATGTGTTATTCTAAGCAATGAGCAATGAGGAGTCACTTACTCGTGTGAAAGCATGGAGTTACCACAGGTTTTATTTTTGTGCAAGCACATATTAACCATAGCCTACATAAATAGTTTTCAAACTCTGAAGCACAGCCAGCATACACAGGCCTAAGTCTTAATACACATACACACACACAGAACACAAGCCTTAACCCTTTCATGGGGCTGAACCTAACAGAATGGAAGAGGCAGCAAGCAATCACGTGCCAGTGAGGAGAGGGAGAGGAAAGGAGGGCGAGGACACAAGTTCTTGTCACCATGTTTGACTGACACTGTAGTGGAATACATCATTTTAACCAAATGCTAGGGTCCTGAAAGAAGGAGAATCAGGCCGTGTATCAGTGATGATAAACCATAGGTGAGGGACAGCCTTCAGCTGGTTCTCCTTTCTGTCCCTCATCTGAGTTTCAGTCATCTTTGGCACACGAAGAATAAAGTTCTGAGATAACAGGAAAGGATCAGAGTTAGGGCAGTAGTTTAAGGATAGGTTCAATATGTTCTGTCTGCCCTGTGCAAGAGCTCCTGGGTAAAAGCAGCTTCCCTAATTGGAACTATGGGACAGGAAACACTGCCACTGAACACACACATTTCAAACAGCAACATTACTATAGATACACATTATGTGACACAGAGACAGTAGGCTCATTACCTCGTGGTCGTGAGAGGCTTGTCGGGCTGCATCTGAAAATATCAGAGAGTAGAACATTAAGTTGGGGAAAAAAAATGAAAAAAATCCACACTTGTTTGCCTGTGGTTGATTACAAAGCCTCCTGGGATAGGGGACTCTGAGAACTGCTGGTATGTTCCCTTCTGGCTTTAACAGTCCAGTCAATGAAAGGGAGAGGGAAGTCCTGGCACAAGCAGGCCCCAGAGCACACACTGCATGGCACTGCGGCTCCTGAGCCCAGAAGCCCACGTGTGTAGATGAGGTGGCAGCAGAAGGACAGGCAGGGTGTAATGATCCATTTCAAAGGGAATAACATCTCCTAACTGCTGCATACTTAATGCCTAGAGGAGAACCAGATAGCTAATAAAGTATTCGATAAATACCTTTTGAATGTACATCCACCTGAAGGAATGAATCTCATTGGAGGTTGGGAGAAATGGCGTATGGCAGGCTGAGAAGTGTTATAGAAAGTGAGTTATGTGGCTCAGTAGACAGCCTAACTTACAAAAGAGATGCCCTTACTGAGAGCTAGGAAAACAGCACGGGCAACTCACAGAGGTCTTACAGAAACCCAGCAGAAAGTTCTAAAGTTCCAAGGTGATGATGTCATGTGGTTGCTGCTGTGACAAGTGGCCTTAGGACACTCCCTCAAGCACATGCTGCACAGTGCTCCTGTCCTGGTACCTTGCCGATGGGATTTGCCTTTTTGCCGGTCCTGGGTTTTTCTGCTGAAGACCTTGTAGGCCTCTGTCTTCTGGTACTGCTCCAGCTCCTTCATGTACCGCTCCTTATCTCTGTCTGCCTCATCAAGGTAGCGCTAGGAAAGAAAGGAGGGAGTATGCTTAATAAACAGACCTTACTTGGGTAAAACAGTAATTAACCTTTTCAAGAAAGCAGGACCAGTAGAACACTGAAAGAAGAGTATACAGGAAATAAAATTTAAGAGAGAATCATAAAAACAAATCATATGAATGATATAAAAATACAGCCTCTTGGTTATAAAAGAAATACGAGCTTCTTACTCTTTAGACTATCGCTTTTTCTTCTCATTAAAAATGCATCAAGATGATGGCTGGTGTGCCTCTAACCCATGGATACAACCCGCATGGCCACTAGAGTCCCACAAGGTCTTCCAGGGGAAGGTATCATTATTTAGCTTCTTTGCCAACCCATTTTGAGGGGATGATCTCATTCATCAACTGGTCTTCTAAGAGCCGGAAGAGCAGAGCACTAGTGCCAGGGAGGAACATAAAACGAGTGACCTCATCCTACAGCCCTAAAAAAGACTACTCTGAGAGAGCCTGCATCTCCATGCTCTGATTGCTGTGTGCTATTAATTATTTAAACTAAGTTCACCGGCCTACTAGGATTATTTTGTTTAATGTCTTCTGCGTTGCATTCATCAAACCAAGTATAAGAAAATATGAACAATGAGTACAAGCCACAATCAGAAAGTATGCTAAAAATTCTGTGCCACATATGAGCTTGACATAGAGGACACTGAACTGGCCAAAGCTGGGAACATGTAAGTAACAAAATCATTAAGTACAAATAGTAAGTTAGAAACCATGGGGGGCGGGGGGAGGAAGAAAGTTCAGGTAGTAATAAAAGGTGCAGTAACTATTTGTTTTCATACTACTAATAAATGGACAATAAATAAGTACATAAAGCAGGGAGAGGAGGAAAGCTGTTTTTTAGATGTTAATTCTGAGGCCAACTGGTAAACATGGAGCAAGTGTATGAGTTGGAAAATGATCGTTTTTGCAACCATAATGATGGAGATCAGGCAGAAATCATTAGCGGATGCTTAATGTAGGGACAATTTTGATGTGGAACAGGCTATTTGCAGGTTCTGAAATATTTCCCAGGGTGGGCATTCATTTAGTTCAGCAGTTTAGATGCCATGAGCATATAAGAGTGCATGGGTTTGACATCTGGCTTTAGCCCCCGACTGGCTTCCTGCTGAAGCAGACCCAGGGCAGCAGCAGTCAACATAAGCAATAGGGCTCCCGATTCAAGTAGGAGACCTGCATGGGGTCAGCTCTCAGATTCAGCCTCACCCACTCTTGGCCACTGTGGATAATTAGGGAGCTCTCTCTTAGCCAAATCAAATCAAACTAAGTCTCCCCACAGGGAGAGCATTGCTGCACAGTGGGTTAAGTCAGCCTTATCCCATATCTGAGCGCGTGGGACTGAATCCAGCTTTTGCTTCTGATCCAGCTTCCTGTTAAGGTGTCTGGGAGGCAGCTTATATACGGCCAAGCACGTGGGTTCCTGCCACCTATATGGAAGAGCCAGATGGCATGCCTGCTCCTGGCTCCGGTCTAGCCCAGCCCCAGCCACTGTGGGTATTTGTTGTAGATGGGAGATCTGTCTGTCCCTTTCTCTCTGTCACACTGCTTTTCAAAAACAAAAAAAGCAGAATAAAAATTACTGAATGAGTAAAATTAACATTACTAATAGGGATAAAAAAAGAGGTCCTGTGTATAGACACATCTTTGACACCCCGAAAAGGGCCATACCTATGAAGTAATCTGATCAAGAAGGCAGAATTCATGAGGAAATGTCAGAAAAACACAAAAGGAGAAGCAGGGAAGCTCCAGCATTGTAGTGCAGTGGGTCATCACCTGCAAATGATGGCAGCCTACATTAGTGCCAGTTGGAGTATTAGCTGTTCCATGTCTGATCCAGCTTCCTATTAATGTACTTGGGAAAGCAGAAGATGGTTCAAACACTTGGGTCCCTGACACCCACATGGGAGACTTGGATGGAGTTACTTGTTTCTCTGGCTTCAGCTTGGTCCAGCAACAGCTGCTGCAGCTACTTGGGAAGCGAACCAGCAACTGGGAGACCATTCTCTCTGTTTATACCTCTTGTTAACTCTGCCAGTCAAACAAAGAAAATAAATCTTTTATTTAGGGCCCGGTGGCGTGGCCTAGCGGCTGAAGTCCTTGCCTTGAACGTGCTGGGATCCCATATGGGCGCTGGTTCTAATCCTGGTGGCCCCACTTCACATCTGGCTCCTTGCTTGTGACCTGGGAAATCAGTCAACGACAGCCCAAAGCCTTGGGACCCTGCACCTGTGTAGGAGACCTGGTAGAGCTCTGGGATCCTGGCTTTGGATCAGCACAGAACCGGCTGTTGCGCTCACTTGAGGAGTGAATTATCGGACGGAAGATCTTTCTCTCTGTCTCTCCTCCTCTCTGTATATCTGACTTTGTAATAAAAATAAGTAAATCTTTTATCAGAAAGGCAGATCAGATTAACTGAGAGAAGGATAGATAGAAAGATCCTCCATCCACTAGTTCACTCCCCAGATGGCAGCAACAGCTTGAGCCGAGCTGATCTGAAGCCCAAGAGATAAATCTTAAAAATACAAAACAAGGAGCTGGTGTGATGGCACAGTGGACTAAGTCTCTATCTGCAGTGTGGGTGTCCCATGTGGATGCCAGTTGGTTGTCCCAGCTGCTTTACTTCTAATCCAGCTTCCTGCTTACGGCTGGAATAGCAGCTGAGCCTGGTCTGGGTTCTTGGGTCCCTGCATCCACGAGACTGGACTCCCAGCTTGGGTCTGGCCCCCCTCTAGTTATTGCGGCCATTTGGGGAGTGAACCAGAAGATGGAGGATGGCTCTCTCTCTCCTTCTTTCCCTGTAACTCTGCCTTTCCAATAAAAACGAGCAAACATAAATAAACTGTAATGAAGAGGAAAGTGATATAAAAAATAATGTCAGGCTAACATAAGGATGGCAGATTAATGTATTATATTAATACAAAATAATGAAGCTGCTTATTATAGTTAAGTAATTTTAAAAAAGACTTGCTTATTTATTTGAAAGTCAGAGTTAAAAGAGTTGAAAGTCAGAGACAGAGAGAGAAACTTGCATCTGCTGGTAAATCCTCCAAACGGCTGCAACAGCCAGGACTGTGCCGGGCCAGGCCAAAGCCAGGAACCAGGGATCATGGGGGTGACAGTGCCCCAAATATTTGAGATATCTGCTGCTTCTTTTCCTAGGTCATTAGCATGGAGCTGGATCAGAATTGGAGCAGCCAGAACTTAAACTGGAGCTCATATAGGATGTTGGTATTGTAGGTGATGGCTTTATCTGCTATGCCACAACAGCAGCCCCATAGGAGAAGATTTCTAACACACACTGAAATATTCAGGGATAAAGGAGTATGATGTAACTTACTTTCCAGTGATTCAGAAAAAACTGCATGTGTGCATGTGAGACAGACAGACTGGGTATGTACAAGTATGAATGTAATGAAATGCAGAGATGGGATAAAATTTGTCAAAAACAGGCAAATGTGTTACTCTGCCTTTCAATCTTACTAAGGGATATATGGAAGTTTTCTATATTCTTTATTTTTTTTTAAAGAGAGATTTATTTATTTTTATTGGAAAGGCAGATTTACACAGAGATGGCATGACCAAGAGAAAGATCTTCCATCTGTTGGTTCACTCCCTAACTGACTGCAGTGGCTGGAGCTGAGCTGACCCAAAGCTATTAACCAGGAGCTTCCTCCAGGTCTCCCACAAAGTTGCAGGGTCCCAAGGTTTTGGGCCGTCCTCGACTGCTTTCCCAGACTACAAGCAGGGAGCTGGATGGGAAGTGGAGCAGCTGGGACACAAACCAGCACCCATATTAGATCCTGGTGTGTGTAAGGAAAGGATTTAGGCACTAGGCCATTGTGTTTGGCCCATCTACATTATTTTTGTTTGTAACTTTTTGAGCATTTAAAATAATTCCCCCCCCCGAAAAGCCCAAACAAAAAAACCTCCATAAAATCTTTGTCCCATATAATTAACAGTGATTTTCCTTAAGAGAAAAACTGTTCTGCTTTTTTGTTTAGATGTTGAAACCAAATTTAAAGAATAAATACGCATTAAGGTTGAAATAAAGAAAAACCATCTAGCTAGCACATCCTGTTTTTGACCGCTTTACAAAAAAAGCCATAACAGTATACAATATACATTGTTTTGTATTAGCTTACCACTGAACAGAGAGCTTCAAACAGTAATGTCATCTAACCTCTTAAAGAATGTTTGGCTTCAATTAATCACCCGGGGAGTGTTTTTTCAATTTGGTTTTAGTCTGCTTGAAATTTTTCAAAAAGAGGGTAAATCACAGATGTATGACTCTAAGACATAAACAAGTAAAGATCTTTCAGCCACTACTAGTGGGCGCCATAGTGGGATTTCACCCAGCTCAAGGCTACCATGTCCTCGGTTCCCCTCAAGTCTCTCCAACAAACAGATCTGTTTCAGTTTGGCAATGGAGCACATTTCTGTTTTAGAAGAAAAAGAATTCAAATAGTTCTTGCTTCACTTTCCATAGTATGTAAAATTTGGCAGAACTGTATCTCAAAACAATTTAAAGCATTCTTTTTCATAAGCAAAGTTTTCTTTGTAAAAACAGATTCACTAGGGTCAGTACTGTGACATAATGGGCTAAGCCTCCACCCGTGGCACTGGCATCCCATAAGGGTGCTGGTTCTAGTCCCAGCTGCTTCACTTTTTACCCAGCTCCCTGCTTATGGCCTGGGAGGGAGGTGGAGGATGGCTTAAGTCCTTGGGCCTTTGAACCCATGTGGGAGACCCAGAAGAAGCTCTTGGCTTCGGATTGGCTCAGTTCTGGCTGTTGTGGCCACTGAGGAATGAACCAGCAGATGGAAGATTTTTCCGTCTCTCCTTTTCTCTGAAGTTCTGCCTTTCCAATGTTCTTCAGATTTATTTATTTGAAAGGAACAGCATCAGTGTCACGGAAGAGTCAGGGAGAGGGGTAGGAGACAGCAACCAAGAAGAAACACGTATTCCATTTGCTGGTTCACTTTCCAGATGGTTGCAACAGGGCTATGTTGGGTTGAAGCCAGAGCCTGGCACTTGGGCCATTATCTGCTGCTCCCCAGATGCATTACAAGAAGCTGGATCAGAGGCTGAGCAGTCGGGGCTTGAACCAGCACCCCCTTATGGGATGCTGGCATTGCCAGCACCAGCTTAACTCATGCCACAATGCTGGCTCATAAACAAAAATCCTATGTGAACTCCAGATTCTTATTAGATGAAATTTTTAGCTTGGTTTTTCATTTAACTCAATGGAATAAAATTTGTTGACTGATTTCTTAACATTGAACAACTTTTCAGAACAATCTTATGGGACCTCTCAGCATACAAGCCACTCATGGAAGAGTAGCTGCTTCAGCTGTGGAGAGTCCTAGGGCACCTCGTGCTCTCATCTTTGCGGCCAATGTAGAAAAAAACATTCAAAAAGCATCTGTAGAGAGAAGAGCTATGAGGTACCCAGTCATCCTGTTATCCTGGGTTCTGCTACAGAATTAGGGCATCAACAATCATCCTCGTTGCTCCGGGAGACAAGGAGACAGAGAGAGGGCAGGAGAAAAGCAGAAAGCACGTGTGAGCAAGTGCTCCCATCCAATGACTCACTGCTCAAACGATGCCAGGAATGCAACCCAGGTCTCCTGCGTGGGTGATGGAGGTCCATTGATTTGACCCTACAACTGCCTCCTGGGTCTACATGAGCAGAGGATGGAGGCAGAAGGTGAGGTGAGGTGGGCACTGAGCCTTGGCACTCCTCAAGGCCAAGCGCCCATCCTGCCTCTGTTTTTCTGACAGAGAGAATCAATCCCGAACCGATGACGAGGAGAAGCAGCCATTACCTGCTTTTCCTCAGGAGGCAGTTTACTCCACTCGTTGCCTAACATCCTTGTGATTTCTGGAAAAGGGACTTCTGGCCTCTTTGCCCGAAGTTGCTCTCGGCGTTCGTTCATGAAGCGCACATACCCTGTAAGGGGGGATTTCGGTGCATTGCTGTCTCGAAGAGGTTTCTTCCGCTTTCTTCCTTTGGACCATCCTCCTCGTTTACTTCTTTGCTACAAAACAGAGCAAAATGAAAAACAAACAAACACCGAAAACAGTCCCCACACATCTCAACAACAATAAACTCTAACACACAAATCAGGAGGAGTTACATTTTCCAATGAATATGGCCCTGGAAATTGAAACCACTCCACATCTATCATGGATACTGATATCTGCAGAGCAGTTCTAAGAACGAATTCCAGATGGTTCATGAGCAGACCATTCTATGCATGGACACTACAGACAACTGCACTGACAGGCTGGTTTTACACACAGGGCCCTCAGTGAGAGGAAGGGGAGCCAGGACCACACAAACATCCCAGCTGCTGACTCCTGACAGGGAGGTGTGCTAAAGAGAAACGCCCAGTGTGCACAAACATGGTGCCAAGGGAGCAGGTGCTGTCACAGCAGATCACAGTAAGATGCTGTCACAGGATAAAGCAGCACAGGGATCTCTCACGAGTACCACTCAAAGACCAGATACTTCCCACGGCTGATAGCATACATATTTTTAAATTAATACACAAGCATTACCAAAAAATTTCAGTTTAAGCACAATGTTTCCAAAATGAAGATCAGTTTCTTGGCTTGATGATTTGTTCCTTAAGATGTATATTTTATCAAGCCAGAGCTTTAAAAGTTATTAGTTAAACCAAAAGATTAAATCACTTTAAAAAACGGGGGGAAAAAAAATCCCCACTGAGGTCTGATGTTTCAGCACATCCCATTCCTTGGTCTTTTCAATGAAACATAAGCTATATCCCACTTTTGCTAAATAATTTTACAAGTGCACATGGCCTATCAGATACTAATGTTTTATGGATAAAGGAATTGTTACTTCAGAGAACAGAAGAATAAATAAAAGGGGACAAAAATATCTAAATAACTGTGGTACTGTATGCCTATAAACACCAGTACCCTAGCAATCTGTCACAGGGACCTGATCCTCTGTGTTATAATACTACTCAAGTTTCAGCAGTTCACTCTTCTAACTTATTTTCGAGTTGGCTGCTTGTTAACACTATGGGGACATATTAATCAAGTTAGTAGTAGGGATCAAGTCATAAATCGTCAGAGGCAGGTCACTCGTGTATTAGAGATTTCTGTTACAATCAAGAAATCAAGACTTTAAGGTGTTTAAAACATTTCAAATAATCATTATAATAATACCAATGAGACAAATTTGAAAGAAAATTGTTTTTTGAAAATAATAAAGACAAAAAGCAATTGGATATGTGTGTTTTTCTTTTGTTTTCTTTTCTGGCTAAAAAAGAGTGCTTTAAAACAGCCCAGGTAATCTGCTAAGCATCACCCAGGGCACAACTGCCTTTGTGTACAGCCAAGAAAGGCTCCCCCTACAGGAGGATGAAGGGCACGGTGAGGGGGAGGAACCTTCTGGCACAGGTGGCTTCATGTTGAAAGTGTGGCCCAGAATAAGGGCCTGTGGGCCCACTGTTGATTACTTTTTTCATGAAATCACTCACTTAACAAAATTTGCTGAGTATTTTATACGTAAGGGAATGAACTTCTTAGCAAGGGGAGAAAAAGAGTTTACTGTCTCTAAGTCATTAAAATCACTGGTGGGATTCTAAGCAGAATAAGCAATGTTATAAGAGAACATTCAGCAGCGGTCAGCCCAAGAATGTATGACGGTCAGCTGATGGACACCTCTATCAACAGCTCCCTCACTCGCCATTTCTCTGGACAGTAATGGGGGGGCAACTCCTCAGCTTACCTCATCTTCATGCCTCTGTTCAGTGCCTTCTGCTGCATTGGAAGCCTCATTCTGCAGCAACTGCCCTTGGGAGAGGTCCTCCACAAATTCTGGATTATTGGCGGATGATGTGGCTCCACCACTGTAAGGGGCCTCCGGGTGGGCTAACCTAAGTGACAGGCACAAGGGCAAATGCTTGGATCAGCAGCATCAGACTCCACTCATTACCCAGAGCTCAAGACAAGTTCTCTGCCAGCACAAGGACATGCCTGTGCTTGAACTCCTCACTACAATCTGTGTCAATGTGAACAATGTCTCCACAGAAGTTAGAGAATGTTTAAAAAGGTTTTAGTGTTTGCGGGAAGCAGGTTGGAATTACTACACTATAATGTTCCCCCCAGAACGGCCTCTCCCTCAATATGTCTCTGGTGACTGAGCTTTGCCCAGGACACAGAATGCCTTGCATGTTATCTTTCAGGTGTGTCCCGCGTGAAAGCAAAGGCCATTAGCAGAGAAGATGGACATGAATGGGAGCTAGAGAGCCAGTGTTGCCCTGCCACAAAGCAGAGAACTTCTGAAGGGCATAAAAATAACTCTCCTGATAACATCCAGGATCTATGTCTTCCTGCATTATAGTGTTTATATTGATAATCAGATCAGCTAAGAACAGTGTTATTAAATTCAGTAAGTTCTAAGTGCTAATCAACTAGAAACAATTTTCTGTTCCCATCAGCTTATTACAGATGAGTCAGCAGCCAGCTCAAACTTCTAGGGGGTGCACACAGAAGTGACAGATGACGGTCAGCTCTGGGGCTGACTCTATCGCACGGAAAGGAATGGGAGACAAGGCTGCACCATAGCCTAGGGAGCCTTATCTGGGTGGGGATGGGGGTAGATGGAAAGGTGAGGGTGGCAGAAGAATAAATAACAGAATATTCAGTCACTATTCTGAAAGAATGCATATCCCAAAGGGTAACAGGCAATGATTACAGTGCAACTTGAGTACTGAAAGAGGTTTGTAAAAAGTGCCCCAGAGGCATGGGACAATGTGTGATGGTTTGAAGAGGCCAAGAATGATTTTACTGAGAAGCTCTTGCATGATGAGTAAGTGTGTATCAAGTAGACAGCACCCTTTCAGGCAGAAGGTAACAGGAGAAGGTGTAACAGACTGAGAGACAAGCACATGCAGGATCGCAGGATCGAGGGTAGAGAGGACGCAAAAGAAAAGGAAGAGCTGGAGGCAATCTTGAGGTTTCCAAATTGGTGATTATGGACTTAGTGTTAGCCAAGGTAAGAACATGGCCTGTGTGTGTCTGAGAGAGGGGGGAGGGGGGAGAGGCAGACACACAGACACACACACAAAGACAGATCAGAAAATGGTCAGTGTGAAGCACCTGTGGCATAAATTAAGTGGAGCTGTCCTATAGATTACCAGAAACACATCCTCAGAGAACAGATGTGAAGAAAGGTATGGGATGGATTATTTTTTAAATTATTATCTTTATTTGAAAGGCAGATCAGATTTAAAGAAAGGGGAGACAGAAAGGTCTTCTATTTGTTGGTTCACTCCCCAAGTGGTTGTAATGGCCAGAGCTGAGACAATGTGAAGCCAGGAGCCAGAAACCTCTTCCAGGTCTCCCATGCAGGTGCAGGGTCCCTGCTTTCCCAGGCCACAAGCAGGGAGCTGGATGGAAAGCAGAGCCACTGGGATATGAACCTGCGCCTATGAGATCCTGGTGGATGCAAGATGAAGATTTAGCCACTAGGCTACCATGCCTCCCTGCCCCACTCTGCCCGTTAAAGAAGAGTGACTTATATGAAAGGCAGAGCAATGAAGAAAAAAATGTGTGAGAAAGAGAGACAGACAGATGAAAGAGAGACAGAAGAGAGAGAGGATCTTCCTGTGGCCAGTTTACTTGTCCAAATAGCCCCAACAGCCAGGTGGGCCGGGAGCCAGGTCCTGAAGGTGGCAGGGACTCCAGGTGCTTGAGCCATCAACTGCTGCTTTCCAGGCGCATTAGCAAGAAATCAGGTCAGAAGAGGAGCCGCTGTTGACTCGAATGGGCACTATGATTCTGGATGATGGCTTCTTAGATGACTACTTAACTCATTGTGCCCCAATGTCACCTGAATGAGATGGATGTGAGATGTATCAGTACAAACAATATCCGAGCAGTACTAGCTGCTCTCCAGGAAGATAATGAAGACAAAGACTAAGCTAGAATATGGCTGGGATGAGTACAGAGACCGGGCGCAAGACTGCTGCGGAGGCCAGGCCAAGCAGACTTTCATTATTTTATTTATTTATTTGGAAGATTTTTAAAAAGACCGTATTAGCTAAGAAAAAAAAAAGCTGCAAATGTCAAATAAGATAGGTTAAAAAAAAATGACCACTAAATCAGAGGACACGAAGACTGCAAAGAAGTGCTTGTGATTTTAGCAGGTTGCATGGTGATTAAGTAATTATGGAAACAAATGCCAGATTATGTGAACTGAGAAATGAACAAAGGTAGATGCAGCCTGTCCTGGGAATGAAACAAATAAATATAATAGATGATTTTAGGCTGAGTGTTTTATATTTCTGAAATCCTTTATGGAAGGGTTAAGTAGGGGCTGGCATAGCACCAGGCATAGCACCTGGCATAGCACTGGTTGCCTTGTGTCCTGACTACTCCACTTCTACTCCAGCTCCTTGCTAACAAATGCATTGGGCAGCTGTGCCCATGTTGGCGACCCAGGAAAAACTTGAGATTCCCAGCTTTGACCAGCCCAACAATGTCCGTCTGGGGAGGAACCAGAGAATGGAAAATCTCTTTCTCTGTAACTATGACTTTGAAGTTTAAAAAAAAAAAAAAGGTAAGTAAAAGAAACTAAAGAGACTATGAACTCAATGCCAATCATCAGGGATCTGGTTTGATCTCGGTATTATTTTCCAAACACATCAATCACTTTGGGTGTGTTAAACACATGCTTTTCTACTGTCACTAATTTCAACTGTGTTATCAGTTTTCACGTTATTAATTATTGTGCATGTTCATTTCAGTGAAATAAACTCAGTTTGGGAATCAGTCCCAACCTCAGGGATCCCTGCCTGGAGTGAACAGGACTCAGAAGAATGGCAAAGGAGTCAAATGCCACAGAGATGACAACTTGGATAAATACTGAAAAACTAAAAAGCTCTTTCGTTACCAGTAATGAACTGCTCAAACTCCAAGGAGAAGTCAGCAACCTGTCTATTTATGTCCTTGATCCCAAATCCTTGCATTCATCCTCTCTGCTACTCATGTGGTCTGTGCTGACATTTCCAGGTCTTTCCTCTATACGATTATAGGTTGTTACTCTGGCATGCTCCAGGATCCCATATGGACGCCTTATTGTGTCCCAGTCTCTCCACTTCCCATCCAGCTCACTGTTTGTAGACTGGGACCCTGCACCTATGTGGGAGACCTGGAGAAGGCTTCTGGCTCCTGGCTTTTGATCAGCTCAGCTTTGGCTGATGCAGCCACTTGGGGATGTTAAGATTTTTCTCTCATTCTCTCTGTTAATCTGCCTTTCCAAAACAAAACTACAAAAAAAAAAAAAATCAAACAAAGAAAAAAATAAAACAAAAACACTCTTTCTCTTGGGCCCAGTGTGGCAGTACAGTGGCTAAATCCTCATCTAGCATCCACTGGGATTCCTATGGATGCCGGTTTGTGTCCTGGCTGCTCCACTTCCCATCCAGCTCCCTGCTTGTGGCCTGGGAAAGCAGTGAGGACAGCCCAAAGCCTTGGGACCCTGCACCCACGTGAGAGACCTGGAAGAAGCTTTTGGTTCCTGGCTTTGGATCAGCTCAGTTTGGACTGTTATGGCCACTTGGGGAGTGAACAAGCAGATGGAAGATCTTCTCTGTCTCTCCTTCTCTCTGTATATATGCCTTTCCAATAAAAACGAAACAGAACCAAAAAACCACACACACACACACACACACTCTCTCTCTCTCAACCCCATTTCTAACTAAGGTGCTCATTTTTCTCCTTTGCTTTATAGCTAAACTCCTGGATAAAAGTGTTTATGTTGAATGACTCCAGGTTCTCCTCTTCCATTCTTGTTTAAATCCACTTCACAGAAGACACGAGCTTCCAACTCACATCAGGGCCCCCACTGACCTACATGCTAAAGCCAATGTCACTTCTCGGCCCTTATTTTACCTGATTTCTCCAGAGGTAGCTGACAGATTAATTTGGTCCCTTCCCTTGGTTTCCAGGACCCCAGAAAAACCTTTGGCTCTTTGGTTGCCTTCTTGGTCACCCCCTTCAGTGGATGCTGAGCCTTCCCCTTCTCTGGGCTCCCACTACTCAAGCACCGTGGTCTCTTCATGATTTTCTCCTTCTACCTTACACTTCTAACTTCAGAACCTGAGATCAAACTACCTGTTTAACATCTCTGCTTAGATATCAAATAGGTTTCAGCCTTAAAACCTCTAGACCAGTGCTACTAAAATTCCCCTGTCTTATCTGCCTCAGCAACATCATCCCCCAAGTTCCTCAGGTGAAAGCTTTGGGGTTCTCTCGGGCTGCTTTCCTTTCACTTCTCACACCACTCATCTTTCAGGCAAATCTTGCTTGGTTTACCTTCAAAATACATAGAGAACTCTACAGTTCTCATTCCCATTCCTTTGCAATTAGCTGTGAAACACACTCTGAGGAATTTTTTTTTAAAGATTTATTTAGGCCTGGTGGTACAGCCTAGTGGCTAAAGTCCTCGCCTTGCATGCACTGGGATGCCATATGGGTGCACTATTTCCTTTTTTTTTTTTTTTAAAGACAAAAATGGATTTATTTATTTTTTTATTGGAAAGCCAGGTTTAGAGAGAAAAGGAGTGACAGAAACATAGATCTTCCATCTGCTGGCTCACTCCCCAAGTGGCCACAAAGGCCAGAGCTGCGCCGATCCAAAGCCAGGAGCCAGGAGCTTCCTTCTACCAGGTCTCCCACGTGGGTGCAGGGTCCCAAGGCGTTTGGCTGTCCTCCACTGCTTTCCCAGGCCACAGGCAGGGTGCTGGATGGGAAGTGGAGCAGCCAGGACACAAACCGGCATCCATATGAGATCCCAGCACATGTAAGGTATTGAACCATTGTTCTAGGCACCAAGGATGCTTTTGCCTCACAACCCCAGTAGAAGTGTTGTCAGACTCAAATGCAGCATTGTCCAGGTTGCCACATCTCACTTGAATTATTGCAACAGCCTCTTGCTGGGGCCCTCGCTCCTGGTCCTGTTCCCTTTGCCATACTCTTCTTGGCAGTCATGGGGATACCACTAGCAAATGGATCAGGTCATTTCACTCTGCTCAAAACATGGCCAGTGCTTTCCCACCTCATTGCTTTGATCTCTGAGATCCTACATGATCTAGCCCCTTCATCCTCCTATCAGTTGTTCCGGCCTTGTAAGAGCTTGTTCCAGAGGTGGGATCCTCTGGCTGTAACTTTCTGAATCAGAACCCAAAGCATATGCACATCCAGGTTTGCGTAGTACAGGGACAGCATCTCTCTCTCCGCCAGCACGCCTTGTTATGTCTCACAGGTCTCCCCGTACTTCCTGTGAGGCAGAAACGCCCTCACTTCAGGTCTTCACATTCCTTCCTCTTCTGGAAAGTCTACCACAGATAAATACATGTGCCCTTCCTTCAGGTCTTGAGTAAAGTCACTTTCTCATTAAATACTTTCTGGGTTAAACCAACTAAGGCTGCTGCTCCAAATTCTTCCTGTACCTCTGCAGCCCATGGTTCTTATCTGTATTGTATATTCTAGCCCTTACGCTGTGTATTGTCTGACTTTCCTAGCAGAATCTGAGCTATTGCCTGTATCAAAAACCATTTTGTATCCAATCCCTGGAACACCATCTGGAACACACAGACACTCAGGAAAGTTTCACAGGACATCCTGCATTTGGAAAGGAGGTGGCCTTTACAACAACCTTGGAGCACAGTTACATACGAGTAGCCACGCTAACAGGTAGACACTAGTAAGGTGAGAAATAAAACAGAGAGAAGGAAACTAAATTTGCGATATAATCTAATTTTTGAAAAAGTGCTATAAAGAAATTGTAATAATTCATTTTATGGATTAACTCTCACTTTATTCTATTAGCAAATATACTTCCTCTTTGGCGAAAGATTTCTATATATTAGGAAAAGATAAATATGCAAGTGAAACAAACTTTCAAAGGAAGAGGTGGATGTTGCCATTAACCCTTTCTGGCTTTCCTTTACGGGCACCCAATGACTCCACAGACAAGAGACCGACAGAAGTCAGCTGAAGCTCCTGAGCCTCTTGAACCATTTTCACAGCTCTGTCAACTGGGACAGAAAACGCATCTGTTTTCTGGAGCGAGCTCTGCAGCAGGCATTTCCTTAATGATGACTACATGGTTTTCTTAAGAGGAGTCACAGACTTGTGCCAGACCTCACGTACCGCAGCCCCAGATTACAGGAAGCACAGCTGGGCAGCAGGGTATGGGGCAGTGCACAGAGGCTCTCCTCCTGGACAAGCACAACCACACCTACGGGTGCACATTTTGCACCTTGCCCCTTTCCAGCAGCTTGGTTCTGAAGCCGACACAGAGACCTAATGGCCCAAAGCAGCTGCTTACCCAGTTGCAGGCAGGTCATTATTCTCCTTGGAGCCATCTTCGTCTGCAAAGAGGGGTGGCAGGGTGGAAGCAGTCATCAAGCTTTCCATCACTCTGAAAAGGCAGAATTAAAAACAAATTAATGGCTTAATTATTTCTAGTTCAAGTTTTACTAATTTGAGAGCCAGCCTTTCTTGATTTTATCACACCAGCAGAAGAGAAGCTGGCCTAAGTATTTACTTTCATGACTTGGACACATCAGTTGAACTCTAATGGTTAATGGGTTTTTAACCCCAGTCTTATCTACTGACCAGATTACAAACAAGTTAGGGTTTCAACAACTGGGATATGGATCGGAAAATTCCCTTCTATCTATCTCTGGAACCTTCCCAGGCATTCTCCATTTCTTGCAGAAGCTGTGGAGCAGAGGAACTTGGAGGCACTGCAACCCTGAGCACACCTTAGTTAGCCTCATGGAGCCACCACTTCACCATCTCAGACACAGACAGAACTGCTGACTTAACCCACAGGGTTACTGCGACCGATTAAATGGAAAGTGCTTCATAAACAGAGAGAGGCTAAGATAGTGAGTGTTTTGACCATTATAATACAAAGGAAAGCATTGTGATTATAGCATTACCAGTTTTCAGTCCCAGATGAATCAGCCTCAGATTAAGTGGTGACACACTGAGCCCTCCAAAGGGAGCTAATGCACAGGGAGTGGAGGGAAGAGGGCCCACTGATGTGGCTCTGAGTCAAAGGGACCAAGCTTCCAGGTCAGCAACGGGCCTCACAGCACTATGAAAACCAACAGCAGGAACAGCCTGCACCTGGGCCCAGGAAACAACTACGCTTAATTGGAGAAAACAAATAAATCACAAGAAGTGGAGGTTATCAAACTGGAAGGATAAAAGGATAAGGTGACAGAGTAATTTGGTTTAGCATTTCACTACAAAGAGTGATTTTTCCCTTTCAGGGCTGACCACCAAGGGCTTCACCCCACACAGCTAAAAGCAGCAGCCTTCCATTCATCATGAAAGTGATATTCAAACAGACATTCATCGGTGACCTCAAACACCAGCTACTTGAGTGGAACTGCAAACCACTTAAGAAAGAGAGCGCCTCAATCAGCCAGGAAAACAGCGCAATCAGGAGAATCACTTAGGAGCTCCCTCAGCACTCACTTCTGGGGCTGCTGCTAAGGAGACGAGCGAAGCAGCAGCTCGGACGAAAGCCAGCAGCTAGGGCCCAGCTTGGAAACAAAAGGACAATGCAGAGACCACTGACATCTTCTCACTGTTTAATGGAGCAATTGATTTCCACAACATCCATTGATGTATTATTTCCTGTTCTTATTTTCACTTCTAAGTTTATTATTGAGCAGAACAAGTACCCTAAGTAGCTTAATGTACGTGAAGGCACTACAAAACGTTCACAGAAAGTTGAATTAAAAGATAAGCTTATTCTGGCGCACACTGAAATCCATGCTTACTTTTTTCAACAAAATATATTTTCCATGAATTCTTGGGGGAAGTCTACATATGCAGAAGTTTCAAAATCTTTTGCACAAACTAAAACTATCTCTCTTATTTCCATTTGTCTGGGAATACTTTCAGGCACCCCTGTTTTACTTTTCAGTGGAGCGGGTAGGGACTGGAAGGCTGGAGAGGAACTTCTCACTGTCCCAGAGTAAGGAGCGGAGTATGTGCAGGAATGTTTGCTAACCCTTTGCAGTTCTGTTAGAACAGGGTGTTTACAAGGGGACTGGCTCTCACAAATAAACACAAAATTCCACTCTACATATTTTCTAGAACAACTCTGACCCAAGTGTACATGAATCCCAAAGTAGAGTCTGGGCTTCAACAGTGGGTAGCTAGCTAACACAGCTTCACACTGATGTACACACTCATTCTTTCAAGAGAAAACTGTCAGTCAGATACCATGCAGTCTGTAATGAGCACGCATTCAGTCAGGCATATCCTCAAGCGTCAAAGGATTCATCTGAGGCTTTCTTTCTTTCCAGAAATGTCTCTAAGAGTCAGTAGTTTTTTAAGGATCAGGATTTGGCTCTCACACCTCAGAAAAAGATGTGTTATCTGAAGGGGGGGAGAGGGGGACAAATGAGGTGTCTCTTCATTTCTTATGCCAACACAGCCCTTTCAGTCTTTCCCAAAGTTCTTTAGTTATTTCTGAAATGCATGAAGAGAGCGGGATGACACCATCTTAACAACACACAAACAGATCATGTAAACAAAGGAAGTTCAGAGAACACATATTTCTTCCTCTTTCCCACTCTCTCTGAAGTTTGTTTTACTCAGCTCATGAGTTCCGACATATTTTCTGTTACTGAGAAGTCAGGTCCCTCAAAATGAGTAATAAAGTGGGTGGAGGGTTAAGGAGCCAAGATCAACAAAAGAAGGAAATGAAGAAAAGTCCACTGAAAGCCTAAGGCTTCTAGACTAGTCCAGAAAGCTGGAAAATAAAATGATTCCCAAGAACATGGTGGCGATTCTGCAGGGATGTGCTTTCCTATGGTCTGCGAGGGAGTGACTCTAACTGAATCACGACGCCTAAGCCACAGAAAGCCAAAGCCTTTCCAGTGCAGCCTCTGTCCTGATGATGTCCCTCAACTCTGAAACTCCATGCAAGGCACTTAAAAAACGTAATGAATGTTGCTCCAGATAGAGAAAGCAGAAATCTGTACAAAGGCAAAGCCATCTACAGGTCTGATTCTCCATTGTACTTCATACAAATAGGTCTTTGGTGCAGACGTTTCTTTGTGAAGGAGACTTAGCCAGCGAAGGCTTCTGCTTGTAGGCCTCCCAAAACGGTCATTACCTCGGGGCTTCTGTTCTGAACCAGCATCTGGATGTGAGCTATGGAAATGCAAAAGTTCCCTAAACCATGTACTGAAAAATCCTGACCTATAAAAGAGTGCCAATTTAAACTGTTTTAATGATAATTACAAAAATTACATATAACGAGAATTATGTTAAGCACATTAGAAATTTCTTGACCAGTGAACACATTCCTCAGTAACACAGGAGCCAAATCATAATCAGAACATTGCTCTAGTCAGTATGGGGCCAGAACAAAGCAAATTAGATGGCGCCTAAGAAATGATCCTCATCAAGATTGTTTCCAAAACAGAGATGACCTCACCATGAAGCTGTTATTTCAAATGTGTCAGAGGGTGTTGGAAGCTGAAGTGTACTGCTTTGGGGGTGAGCTTTTTTTCAAGTGCTCTTTCCTTACTTCACACACATTCCACTGATTAGGTTCTCTCCTGGGATGCACTGCATTCCTTCCCCATTCTCCATACTACATGTTCATGGAAAACCCTGGGCTTCTTGAAAAATCACACCACTTGGCTGGATCAACCTTGAAATTAAAAATCTGACCATTCTCTTCCCTTATTTCGAGCTCTCAGTTTCTCCAAGAAAAATTTCTATTCATTGATCCCTGAATTTCGCTTCTCAGTTCAGCTTAAGATTTCAATAGATATGGTTAGGAAACTGAATTTTGACTTAAGATGGTTGAGAGAAAACTCACAGATTAAGGGGTGCTGCTATACATTTATGGTATCCTTGGAGCTGGCACCATGGCATAGCATGCTAAGCCTCTACTTGCAGCACGAGCATCCCATGTGGACCCTGGTTTGTCCACCAGTGACTCCACTTCTGATCCAGCACTCTGGTAATGACTTGGAAAGGTAGCAGAGGGATCAAACCCTTGGGAATCTGCACCCACTTTGGAGATCCAGAGGACTGGCTTCTGTGATCATCCGGGGAGTGAACCAGCAGAGTGAAGATCTCTCTTTGCTTCTGTTTCTATAAATCTGTCTTTCAAATAAAAATCAACCAAATAAATCTTTTAAAAAGATTATGATATCCAATCACAACTGAGAAGTTGATACACTGAACTTTTCCTACATACGTTTGAAGGATATTTCCCAACTGTCAAATCTTTTCTATTACACTTACAAGTCAGATTAAATCCAACTTATTCCTACTCTCCAATTCAGCCTCATCTCTAATTAGTTCACATCCTCAAGTCACCCCAGAAGGCTTCCTAAGCTCCTGTCTTTTCGTGAGTTGTTTTTCACGTAGCAAAATTTATCTCTTGGTGGTTTTTGTATGTTCTCAGGTTTTGCAATCAACACCACATCTTGCCAAAAAGAAATCTGGCACCCACTAGCAGACCAATCTCCATTTTCCCCTTCCCTTGGAATGCCCCAAGCAACCACTGTCTATGGATTTCCCTATTCTGGACAATTCACATAAATGGAATCATTGTGGCCTTTTGTGTCAGGCCACTTTGATCTAGCACGCTTCCAAGGTTCATCATGGAGCTACTGGAATACATGGCTGCTCATGCTTAGCACTTTCAGGAAAGGTCAGACTCTTGTAAAACACCCACAAACAAATTAGGATTCTTTTTTTTTTTTTTTTTCATTGGAAAGGCGGATATACAGAGAAGAGAGACAGATCTTCCGTCCGATGATTCACTCCCCAAGTGAGCGCAACGGGCCGATACTATGCCAATCCAAAGCCAGGAGCCTCTTCCGGGTCTCCCACGCGGGTGCAGGGTCCCAAAGCTTTGGGCCGTCCTCGACTGCTTTCTCAGGCCACAGGCAGGGAGCTGGAAGGGAAGCGGGGCTGCCGGGATTAGAACCGGCGCCCATATGGGATCCCGGGCGTGCAAGGCGAGGACCTTTAACCACTTGCGCCACCGTGCTGGGCCCACAAATTAGGATTCTAAGTCCTCCACAAGAATATCCATGCTCATATTTCTGATTACAGCCCCCCACTAGATGTTCAGTAGTGTTCCTGTGTAGTTTTGGTATTCAGTCCCCCGAAGAATAAAGACATGCAGCATTTCATACACATAGACCACTCATATCATGGACCTTATTTGGAGACATGAATTGTAAAAGTTTTTTTTTTGGGCCCGGTGCGGTGGCGCAAGTGGTTAAAGGTCCTCGCCTTGCACGCCCGGGATCCCATATGGGCGCCGGTTCTAATCCCAGCAGCCCCACTTCCCTTCCAGCTCCCTGCCTGTGGCCTGGGAAAGCAGTCGAGGACAGCCCAAAGCTTTGGGACCCTGCACCCGTGTGGGAGACC